TGGTGCCCTGCAGGGGTGGGGGAGGTGGGGGGGAGAGCTGCCTTTTCTCTCCCCTCTACCTTGTCATCCAGCAGCCGCTCGCATCGCTAGCACCGTCCGTTTTATTCAGACGTGCTTTTCCTTAAAGCTGCCCGTTCCTTGTGTTGTGGCTACTTAAGCTCTTTGTGTTAACCTCCCTTTCCCCTCTCTTGTCTTTGCACACACACCCCCCTCCGGCGACACTTACAATTTGATAAAGCTGGCAATGAACAGTAACCGAAGTTTTCTAAGAAGTATCAGTCTGAAATGTAGGAGGTGCTACTCTAACCTTTCATGCACCTGAAATTATTAAAATGTTAGGGTAAAATGATTTCTGGAACTGAGTGAAGAGTAGAGTGATGGAAAAATAATATTTCCTATGTACAGAAGAGTAAAAACTGCAAATTAGTTCTGTTGTAGTAATTGTATACTTCTTTTCCTCCCAAAGATGACTTACCCCTTCTCTAGTAATTTAAGGTCCTTGATAATACTTGTTAAAATAACTCTTTTGTTTGCAAAAGCAACATGTAGGGTGGGAAAATCCAACCTTGAGAGATCACAGGCTAACAGATAAAGACTTCTGTTCTTCCAAGTTGATACTCTAATTGGTGACGAGGAAGACTGTAGAGGATGGGAAAATCCAACCTTGAGAGATCACAGGCTAACAGAGATAAAGACTTTTGTTCTTCCAAGTTGATACTCTAATTGGGTGACAAGGAAGACTGCAGAGGGTATGTGTGCTTCAAAGCACTTTGTATTCAGGACTCAAAGTTTTGGGAAAATCAGGCTGTTCATGCACACATCTCATTGTGCTCAACGTAGCAGGAAGTTGGTGGGACCAGCTCCATATTCTTGTAATCCCTAAACAGCAAACTAATAGAAGTAATCCTTGAATTTAGCTTTCATGAAGAATACTTATATTAGCAGTGGTGGTGTTGCCTAAGAGCATTAGAGAAACTGAGTTTGTAAGAGAGAAGCGCATGTTTTTCAAAAAAGTATGTGTCATTTCTGATTCTTGATAAAAGACGTATCAAAGGTTATTTTGTTAGGTCCTTCAAGGCTTGGAATTCCTGGCTATGCGGCCAGACCAAAATTTGCTTTCCATTATGTGGAAGAAAAAAAGTAATCTGCCCAGCCTGTGGTACTTCAGTACCCTTCAGCTCTCAAGGCCGGTTGTGCTATGACTGTGTACTTGAACAAGATAGCGGCGTGTATCATTCCTCACTCTCTGTCCATGTTTCCAGCTGAAGTAAACAGGGCACGGAGCAGAAAGCATACAAACACGTTCAATATTTTGGATGATTGGGATAGCGTGACTGGGATCGACTGCATATGGTGGAGTCAAAGACACTTAAACGGGTTCCATCTTTCACTGTAACTAACCATGTCTTTATTTCTGTGTCTTTCAGCTCTGACACTAACATGTTTTACTTCTTAATAGATTGGGTTGATGTTGCAAATGATCTTTTAAGGAGCTGCAACGTAAACCAGCGCATAAAGCATCTCTCAGAATGTGGTGCTGATGTGTTTGTTCGTCTTTATGAGTCAATCTTAGGAGAAAAAGTACCAGGTGGGAACGATAATTTCTAAACCTGCTTTTCTTTTTTTTTGTCTCTATATTTTGCAATGAACAAATTGAAGTTTGCAAAACTTACTACGGATGTAGGGTTTTTAAAGTATTTGTGTCCTTCCAAAGACAAACACATAAGATTGTCATTCTTTAAGAAGATTTAAGTAATATTGGCCAATTTTTTTTATTTTTCTATTGTAAATTAGGCCTTGAAAGCCATACATAGGCATGATACCTTTGAAGGGTGTGAATTGGCTCATTTCTCTTAAAGAAGTGTTAATACTGAAGCCTGTTCTCATGAAATGCTTGATTCTTATAGTCTGCTAAGAGCTAAGCTGTGATTTAACGCCTATTTAACCCAACTCCATTTGACTTCGGTGACAACAATTAAGCTATACAACTATGTATTTGTTTGCTTTATGGTAAACTATTGCGTTTGGGAAGTGTCAAGACTCCTACCTGCAGAAGATTTTAATAGCACTGAGGTAACTGGCAGCTATTGGAGGTAGAAGTCCTGTTAAATATAAGCCCAGAACTAAAAATAATGTTTCTCCCAATTAAGTAGAGTACATTGCAGTCCAACTTCTCCAGTCTCTGCCGGGAGGAGAGACCTTGACACAAACTGCAATTCCAGTTTGACGATCTGAACTAGATGTGTGTGCCGGGAGTGAAGGAGGAAAAATACTTTAGTAGTCTCTATTCTTGAACTTAATACTTCAGCTGATAAAATCCTCACATCTTCCAGGGGCTGTTCTAAGTTTGTGCTCAGTATTTATAAAAGATTTCATACGACCATATGATATTTGGGCTTTTCACCAAGTATGCAAGGTATTGAAAAAATACTAACTTGTAATGGAAAGTTGAAGTAGTTTAGTCAAAACATCTGCAATAAGCTATCTATTTAGATAGCCTAAAATCTATTATCTATTTTAAACAGATTTCATAGCTACTCCTAGAAGCCAAGAGGATGATGCACATAATGTACAAGCAGTAATAGATTCCTTGGCATTGGACTACTTGCAGGTCAGCTTGTCGCACATCAGTGGTAAGTACTCATTTTAATGTAGACAAACACCAGTTGAATATCTGTGTGGTTTAATTTGAACATTTTATAAGAACCATATGTTATAAAGCATACTTTCATACTTACATGAAAGGTCTTTTTCCTGTAGTGAATGTCATCAAAACACTGAACCCTTGCCTTGGACATCAGGTTATAAATTTAAACAGCAAGCAGAGAATAAATAAGAGTTGTCTTGTGTGACACAGACCTGTAAGAAATGTTAATGTTAACAATCATACTTCACTTGTCTGCTAAAGCGTTACCTGAAGTCTGTTACTGGCTCAGTATTTTTCTGTATACAGTTAAAGCTTGGAGATTGGGTTTTAAAACATGAGCCTTGAATTTCAAACTTCTTATTGAATTTTAAAAAGTTGGTGAGTAAAGACTTGAACCATGTTGTGTCTGTCCTTTGTACACAGATAATAGCTTTCATTGAGTATTCATGTGTATAGTCTTGCATAACATAGCCTGCAAAGGATGAAAACTGCTTGCTTGATACAAGGTATCTCTTTCTAATTTGGTACCTGTACAGTATGGCTGGTATTTGTAATCCTGCCTGCCAGTCCATAGACTTGGCTCATGCTGTAGCTAGTATGCATAAGAAAATATTAAATACCAACTATCCCTGAAAATATCCCTGATTTTTTTTTTTGTGGAAGCAGGTATAGCATCAATAAACTTTCACTTATTAGAACTGAAAATATGCAACTTTAGGAAACTTGTAAGATACCTTAAGCTTACATACGTAGCCAGACATGAGTGACCAGTTGTCTTCTGAGCTGATGCCTTCAGAAGAATTTCCAAGCACTCTTCTCCAGAAAACTCCTGCTTTTGAGAATTTTTTTTTCTCTGAAGTACTAATTATTAATACGTGGCAGTACCTTCTCTTAAGGTGAGAACATTGTGAAAGGAGAAAAGGAATCTATCAGAAACCTCCTCGAAATATTTGATGGTTTGTTAGAGTATCTTACAGAAGAAGTCAGTGAATCTTCTTCTCAGAATGGAGGTGAGTAGACAGATGTCCTAGATTAAGGTTTTATGTTCTGCTACTACTATATTACAGACAGCTTATTTTTCCTGTTTGTCTGCTATCAAGTTAGCTTGCTGAGGGCTTAGCTTCTCATGACCACAGTTCTTGGTGTTCATGGATAGAATACAGCTCCCATAATAGGTAAAAACTGTTTCTTTGCTGTTCTCCTTACGAGTAGCTATAGGGAATGATATCCATTGGAAGATGTAAGCTTTGTGAAACCTTGTTTTGGGATACCCAAGGTGTTTCCAATGTAGCAAAGATTCATTTGGTGGTTTTGCCTTATTTATAACCTTGACAATGCAGAAGAGAAAGACTGAAACTGACCATGGGGGGAGGAAATTTCAGTGGCCAAACTGAGTATTTATATTCCTTATTTTCATAAACAATAATGATAAAACAGAGAATTTATTTTCCCCAGAACTTGTTAAAAGGCAAGAATTGGAGAACATAATCTTTCTGCTTCATTCTTGTGGCAGAAACCTACTCCAGACAGCTCATCCTCTGTTAGTATGTTGCTTTTCAACTTGTAAGTCAAATGATTTATGGTTAGGATTCAGGGAGGGAAATGTTGACTTTAATTGGAACAATGAGCAAATGTCCCTTTTACTTACTAGGAGACAAACAGGGGGATGACTTAAGCTTTCCTGTGAAGTGGGTCTTGGGAGCAGGTCCCATAGCAGGGGCTGTTTTGAGGAAAATGCTAAACAGGGGAAGAGTAGCTACTCAGCCCTTCAGAGGCATCGTCATTACTGCAGACTGAGTACTGGTCTTCCTATCTTAAAGCTGATAAGAACTGTCATTACTGGCTGTTGCACCCTGTGGGTAAAGGGGAGAGCACTTGGTGGCTGAGACAATTGCCTCCTGTCCTCTTTCACTGTGAATGGCAAAAAAAGGGCAGTAGCAATTTTCAGTGCCTGTACTTCTGCTTTTCCCTTCTCCCAGACTGCCAGTGCTGCTACCCAATAGGTGTGTGGCTCCAATTTTCTAGTTATAAGTACAGGATTTAATTCTTTTGAGGAAGAAGAAAGGGGTTATTTATAATTGAAACAATAGGGTATATGACAGTTGTATTGCTTTTCAAAACTTTTCTTACATAAAAGTTACATGTCATCATTTTAGATACCATCATTATAATGTTTTAGTACACTTAAACTGTTTCGGTGATATTGGCAATAATACCTGTTAGTTAATGGGTAGAAGTAGTTTTCCTGAAAATAATTGCCTCTTCGTTATTAACAGATGACGCAAATGTGCTGTCCAATAATGAAATTCAAATTGCATCTCAAGGGCAGTTGGAAAGCAATGCTGGTCAACTTACTCAACCTTCAATATTCTCATCAGTTGAAGGGTAAGAACATTTGCATTGACATAGTGATTGACTATCTTTTTGTGTATCTGTAGAGAAACTAGTAGGTTTTTAATAGTATGCAAGTAGGAAACATACTGTTCACATATGTCAAACCGAATGTGAGGTAACTTTCTCCTTTAGTTGGGCAGCAAGAGGGCTAAAGTTAGATCCAGAACTTTTTTGCTCTTCAAGAGTGCTGGCGGCATTTTGTTTCCCTTAAGTTTACTTTACATGTGGAATGAAACAAGTTGAAAACTTTGTTTCAGTTTTAAATTATTGTATTTTATTTAAACTGCATTCGATTTATCTTTGTGACTTCTACATTGGTTTGTTTTGTAGAAGCTGGTCTCTTACGTCATACACTATAATAGCAGCTACCTGAAGTGGGGTTGCCACTCTTTTGCAGCTCCATCTTGTGGACTGAAGGGGCAAAGACTTCTCGAGTAAATATTTTATGGCTTTATGTTCCTCTTAGGTCCCAGTCAGAATTTTTTGTTCCATCTTGTGATATAGATGGATCAGAATCTACCAGTGAATTAATTAGACTTGGAGATACTGCTCATTCATTTTCCAAGAGAGAGGAAGGTGAGTTTGGGTGAAAAAAAATCTTTAAAACTACTCCGTAGTAACATTTCTAGGCTTTTTTGTTGTTTCTTTTTTTAAAGTTACTTCTTTGAGACAAATACTTTGTTTTAAACTCTTACTTTACAACCCCCTGCCTCCCCAAAAAAACCCCAACCCAAAATAAGCAAACGTACCTGTAGTTGATCTTGCTGAAGTTAAAATGTAGATTTCTTAAAGTATTTCAGACACTGTTTTTCATGACTCCTGAGCTACATTATTTGAATAAAGGTTTGTTGTTTGAGTTCTAATTCAGTTCTCCCTACAAAGGCATTTTATTTTGTTCAATAGAATAAGAGATTTCTGAAGCCTTTAATTTATTTCATTTATTGCAGTGTAAAATGTATTATTTAAGGTTGTAAAAAGACTAGTAAGTTCATTCTTAAAGAAGACTTAGGGGCCTGTGCCACTTAAAAACATAATGGGTGGTGCTGGAACAAATAACGTGCAGACTACTTAAATGGAGTCCATTCCTATTTCCTATAAGAATATTCCTGTTCTTATTGGTGATTAATCTCTCCAAGTAGAGGCATAAAGAAATATTATGAATTACGATTTCTTCTTATTGAATAGAATTACAAGTAGGAATTTAACAGACCTATTTTGTTCATAGTATGGATTGCTAACACCAAGTTATTAACATACCAAACATGAAAATTGTCCATCTAAACAGTTTATAGCAAGATGCTTTATAGTTCTTAATTTAATCTTTTTCAAGCACCACTTCTAGAATTCCAGTTGCCTGAATTGTTACCAGCAGAAACGGACAAGGGGGTGGAAGAGTCTAAAAACTCAGGGGCTATTGCAACATTACCTAGACAGTTCTCTGAAATTGAAAGGGCCGTTGTAAAGGAAAAGGAAGATGGTGAGTATTCATTCTCCTGATATCTAATCTATCTGATTTTGACTAAGGGGTGTAGAGGAGAACCTTAGTCATGGATGGAAACACTTTAGCTATATTTTGAAATAAATAAATCCTTTTCAGAAATTTTATATTTTAGTGTCCCAGAATATGCAAACTCCATTATCTGGGGTATTTCTGCTTAGCTAGGATTCAGCTTCAGCTAGGTTTTTTTCCTTTTGTGGTTCAATAAGCAAAATACTTAAAGTAAAAAGTCCCTGTGGAAGATGCTAGCATCCAAAATCATTTTCTCAAGGGGGCTTTCTTGCTGTTCTTAAGGACAGTTATGGGTAGATTGTGTATTAGGTGAATCATTCTGACAGGTGGCAGCCATTTTCTCCAATTGTCCCTGGCCTCTGCTGACTATGGCTCTGTCATTGCTTAGAATTCCTCCACATGAGCAGGCATTCCCCAGCACGTATCTAAAATGACTGTGGGGAAAATAACAGCGAATCGAAAGCTATTTACTGTGTATGCACATAGCTACAGCCATGCAGTATGAGAGCAGTATATTCATATACATACATACATATATATACAGTCATGAAAAACTTGGTGCTCTTGGAAAAGTAGTGAAACAGGGAGGGGCTGCAGTACGTATCTTTGTAAACAGAATAAAAGTAACATCGTAAGGCATAAAAATGTTAGAGTACTGTTCTATGCAATCCAACAAAGATGGTAGCTAACATTAGATATTTAGATACTTCCATCTAATATGTATGGAGAATATACAAAATTAACATCCTGCTTTCACAGATAACACTTAAATGTCAAGTTCTTCATATTTGTCTCTTAAGGATCAATGGAATCTGTTCATACTACTGAACCTCAAAAAGAGAGTTTGAGTGCCAGCGCTACAAAACTTGGGGAGCCTATACAGCAAGCTATTCCTTTGCTACCACCATTTCAGGCTTCGGAAGCCAGACCTCATTATCCTGGATGGAGAGATTATCAGAGCTCAGCCAGCCAGTCAGCAACTTTGGCTAACAGTCAAAGAGTGAAAATTCCTACTGTAAAAGTAAAAACCTATCCTTTGATTTTTTTTTTTTTTCCCCCCAGTAATCAATACTGCTTTCATTTTAAAACCTTCTAGTATACTTGCAGAATGGGAGTAGTTGGTCTCTGAAGAACACTTCTGAACGTGTCAGATGTTATCTTCAGTTCAAAGAATTTTGGATTGTGGATTTGTTCTTCACTGAGTGTCCAGAGAGGAAGTTAATTTGAGGGGTGTGTTTATTTTATACACATATACATACACATCTCCATAATCAATGTAACTGCACAGTTTACAATATAGTAAACAAAATAATCATAGCGTATTTTTATTTTATATATATATAAATCAGCGTTTATTTCCATATGCAGACAAACCTAATGTATGACCTTCCTGTCACCACTCTCCTGTGAATTTATAGAAAACATGTTGCTTTTTATTTCAGCTTGAAAAGTCACTTACACAAAAATCTGAAGATGTTTCTGGTAGTCTCCCCCTATCAAGGAAAATCCCTGGTGAGAGAGAATTTTGCTTCCTGTAGGGTAACTCTTAAGTGTCAAATGTTGCATTTATTTTTATTGGCACTACAAGAAACATGGTTTTGAAACTACTAGTGCATTTTTCTTCATTCAGCCACAAGTTCATATTTCTATCTCTATTTTATAGAGAAACAAAAACTTTTAAGCTTTTTACTGTGCTGGAGAAAAATAATCTGTGTGCCCAGTTCAACTCCTTTCTTATTTAATCCAGTTAAGATGTGCCTGTACTACAGAAATCTCTTCTAGCAGGTAACTCCCATGGCTGAACTTACTCTGAGCAGAGAAAGATGGACCAAACAAGCCAGTTTCAACTCTAGGAAAAAGCCATTAACTGCTATTGTAGAAAAGGTTTAGAAGCTGATTTTCAGTACTTACTTTCTCTGTTGCCTGGGAAACACTGCTTACCTTTCTAGTTTCCATAGCATTCCCATGACACTGAACATTCAAAACTTGAGAAATTGCCAAAATGAATGTCACAACTGTGTAACCACAGTTGCTTTGTCATTCTGTTCTCTTTGAGTAATTTGGTTCCAAAGGCCACGGATCGCATCTTTTTTTACTTATTCCCCACATTAGTAGGTGCAGTGCAGTCTATACCATCAACTAACACTTATCTGTCATCTGCTTCTGCAGTGGGAGACAAGGTGGTATCAAATGATGCTGAGGACAACGTGGCAAAGGTAGATGTTGCATCTTTACCTTATTTGTGGAAGTTCAATCAATATTTTTGGATTTCTGCTTAATTCTCCTGTTATCTTGTGGCACTTCTGGGCTTTCTTCAAACCTGCTTTTGGCTTGCTTTCTTCAATATACAATCAGTGATGCAATGCTGTTAGACTATGACTATGTATAGTTTATAAGTCATGTCAGTTCTTTCTGGAGGTGTTTGCTCCAAGAAGTATAAGTGCCAGTACCTATAGAGTTCTACTTTATCACAACCAACCAGTTACTAGTTATCTTGGTTTTAATCAAAGATGTATAAAATACAAGAGTACAGTCATGTCCTTTCTCTGAAGTGTACCAGTATTCTAAATTAGTAAGAATTTTGGTTTTCTGGGGTTGTTCAGACTCCAATAAAATTCAGATTTTGCTCCCTTCCTAAAGATGACTGAACTACCTGGCTATATTCTTTCATTTTATTTCCTTGCATTGTCCTTTTCTTTTAAAAAACTGAATAATGCAAAACCCACAAATTGATCAGCAGGTGCCTGTAGAAACATGTCTGTATAGGAAGTTCCTTGCTCTGGAAAACGCTTTTCTTGCCTTCTGCAACCACAAGAGGTACTCACAGACTTCATTTGTTCCAATAGTTTCAACAATGTAGAAGCCTTTGCTTCTACATTGTCTGTTTAAAACATTGTCTCTGTTTAAAACTCACTTTTCATTGGTGTATTTGCAAGTATATGCATGCCAACCCCGAATTACTCCAGTTCGAACGGATAACTTACCAGGCAGTACTAAACCAGTGTAACTAAACGGCGTAAGGACCTAAGTGTTTTCTTTTAGTTTGCTGTGAATTGCAGCTTAGTCTATAGTCAGTGAGGTTCAGCTTACTTGCATTACTTGGCATTAGTCCCAGGCTAATGAGGTAGTATGTAGGGATACTCATATAACTTAACCTACACCTTGTTCTTCCGATTCAGTGGTTTAGCTGTAGATGATTCTTGAACTGATACATATTTTTGCTGGTCTGTTTCTTTAAACATCTAATTCTCTAAAGCACACTATTTTCAGTCAGGGACCTGGACATATAACTACTTTTATATATATATATATTAAAAAAAATACAAATAATGATAGGGTTTGAGATGGTTCTCCTATAAAAGCTGTTGTAGGATCTCTCTACTCACACGATCTATGGTATTTCTGAGCTTTATTGTGAAGATCTTAATAAAATCTTAATTTACTCTTACTCATTTTCCTAGGTTCCCTGGGTATATGGGACTTCATCTGCTTCCTCTTTACATCAAAAACTCTCTCTACGTGCTGAACAAGTAATACAAACTCCAAGACCTGAATCTAGATATCTGCCTAGAAAGAAAAGGCAAGTTCAGGCTTTTGGTACTGAGCCAAGCTAGCACTTTCATATACATGGCCCCCCAGCCCCACCCCCCTCTTTAAAATAAGATCTCTTCCTCCTTGGCTGCACAACAGTGAAGGATTAATTCTAACAGAAAGATTCCCTGTTTCTCCTGACAAAATAAGATCTCTTCCTCCTTGGCTGCATGACAGTGAAGGATTAATTTTAACAGAAAGATTCCCTGTTTCTCCTGACGTATATGCATTTTCTTAAATATAGTTACAGGCATTTACACATTCAGCTTCTACTTACTCCTATAAAAATGTGCTCACGCAAAAAGTGAACTGGAATTGTACAAGGTAATGCTTATCTTCCAGTTTTTAGAACAGAAATGAAATATGTCTTTTTTCTGTTTTAGCAGATATGAAAATTCTACCACAGATTCACTTGAAGAGTCTCCTTCCCACAGAACAACAAAGGAAAAGCTATCTGAGCAAGAGCTTCATAAAGTGTCAGAAAAACTCTCTCGCAGGTTAAATGAACTAGATTTAGTAAGTGCAATCTATTCTTTGTTGTATCTGAGCTAGCTAGCCATAGTAATGATAGTAGAGAGAACCTGAATATAAACTTAATATTGACAAAAAGGAAATCTGCAACTAACATCTGTCTTTAGACAGTTCTAAATTTTGAATGAACTACTGAACCTGACCCCCCAAAAAATTTATCCAATAGATGTTAAAGAGAACTTTGGGTGGGCAGACCAGGGAAGAAGAGTTGACAGATGAGGACAACCTGTCTCAGCACAGTGACAGTGTCATGGATTATCGCCGAAGGAAAGCTGAACGAGGTAACAATTCTTATGCCACTTAGGTATTAGGATGGAAAGGAATATAAAAAAAATCCTTCTCCTATAAAGCCGATACACTGAACTACTCATAGTTACTAAGTTTTGTATTGTTAGTTCACTTGTATTTTGTCTTAGATCCAAACCTGAGCAACAGTAACAATTACAATTAAGTTCCCATTTAACACATAAATAGCTATGGTAAAACTTTACTAAAAATACAAGGCAAACACAGCTGCAGTAAAAAACATACAGAAGAGTGGGGGGAGAGACAGAATACAAGCTCATCGATAGGACTGTGATTCTAAAATGAGGGCCTATTCACAATATACTTCACTGCAGGTTCTTCTGTGCCGAGCACAACATGTACATCTAGGTATCTTACAAACATATTGTGCAGTGTGTGTGTTGGTGATATAATTAAATAACCACCCTATATGTACACCAGGCTATAAAACTATCATATAGCTTGATCTAATCCACATGCACAACATTATATTGCAAGATGGAGTGACCCTGGCATATAGACAGTCTCTCGCCTTGAGCTACCTTCAGTTGTCGTTGCTGCTTTTTCCTTTCCCAGCTTTAATATCTCCTGGCACCTTTGCTATTATATAGACCCCAAAATTTGTGATTTGGGGCAGGGATAATTCTAAAGGCAAAGGCTTTAGATTTTTATGACTTAATTTGTGCTAAACTTTTTGACTCTTAATGCTGTATGGTTTTGGGGGGGCTTTTTTTCCTTATGTTTGGCTGGAGGGTTTTTTTTGTTTCAAGTTAGATACTCAATGAATCGCCTTTTCTTATAGACACATCGCATCTAAGGTACCCAAGCAGGCCACGATCCCTTTCTCCGTCTTCACCCTCATCTCAGCGTCAACTCTTTTCTGAGTTGGAAGATAAACTTTGCAGTAATGGAACAGGCCATATAAGGAAAATACGCAACCAGTTGCAAAAAGAAAGGGATGAAGGAACAAAAAAAGCAAAGGTAATTTCTATTGGTCATTCTTACCAAGTTATACTAAAAGCATTAAAACTGAATGCTCTTACTTAATGGGGGCATTCTGGCCTACGTTAGTAATTTCGTACTGTTGTATCTGCAGACTGCTGAGGAAAAGACTTAAATTTTGCAAAAAAGAGAGTTTAAAGAGGAAGAAGCTACTTTGACCCATACACCAAATAAGTTAATGAGGTGGTCATGTGGACTGATTATTTTCTCTGAAAAGTCCTCTTATTTTTATTTTCTAGATGGTCGCTAAAGCTTATAAAGATGAACTAAGAATTTATGAAGCTAGGGAGAGACTTAGACTTTCCAAGCTTCGAGAAGTCATCAAGGAAATGGTATGTGATGCAGTACGGTGATTGTTGGTTTTTGGTTTTTGCTTTGAATTTGTCTAGATGATCTGTCCAGATGCTGGATATGTCTTTTGAGTACAAAACCTTGACTTCCAGTGTCATAGTTACCACACTGTATACTACTAAAGTAGTAAACAGGACAGCTTTTCCTGAGATAGGTAGAACCAAGGGACAAGTAGTTTCAGAAAGTTTCAGCACTTCCGTGTATTAAGAATAATACCTGTTCTTATGGGTAACTTAACAATCATGCTTTTCACATGAAGTGGTAACTTCAAGACACTCAGATTTAAAGAATTAAAGCTAAGCGAGCAAGTAGATAGCTTCCATAGACTGGCCTTCTCCACACACACATCCCCAACAGCCAGGTTAATAAGGTGGGAGCCCCTGTACACTGTATGCAATCTGCTTAATATTGTCAGTCTCTTTTAACTACTCTAAAACTTGGGTTTGTGCAAGGATGATTCTCTAATGTTATGAATATGGCAAAGGGGGTTTTTGCTACTTTCTTAGGTACTACTGAAACAGCAAAGAACCTAAGCTGAAAAGCTCTGTCACACCAATGTCATAACAATGTAGGCTGCACTGGCCCTTTTCACTGCCTTTGCAGAAGCAGCCCATAGGCTGCTGCAGTAGTGTTAAGTGCTGCAAAAGAGCTGAGGTTATGCAATAGTGAGATTTAACCTTTATTTGAACCCTGACCTGCATTTGGTAAATTCTGGCTTTCTGGAGAATCCAATTCAATACGTCCAAATTCTCATTCTAAAGTTTCAAAGACATTTAAGTTCTGATATCCAAACTATGTGATCTATCAGTCTTTCCCTTCTCATACCTGTTCTCCATCTGTTTTACATCTGCTCCTAAGGAACAAGAATACAAAGAAAACATCTTTAAAGAACCTCCAAAAATGCCTCAGCCAGTGAAAGTTTATTCTAGAAAAACCACACCTCGGAATCCCAAATACAGCCAGTGGATTCCAAAACGAGGGACTGTGAAGCCAAAGAAAGCAGCTCCAAGTAAGAACTGCAAAACTATACTTGGTGGAAAACTGGCATCTTTTGAAAGCATGTGTTGAACTCCAAGAATAAAGGCATCAGTCCAACATATACCAGTCAGCTGTAGCATTTTCCCCTTCTTATGACCTCTATATGTCTGGATTTTTGTTAGGGAAGATAATGCTGTAAGTAAATGTAAACCACCAATGCACAATCACAACTGTGACCCATTTGCTACCGCCTTAAAATCCCTTGGATTATTTTCAAGGCTTGTTTCCATTACTGCTACTCCTATGCTTGCTCCGCTATAGTCTGAGCTCAGTCTTTTTTTTTTTTTTCCCCTCCCCTTTTCTTTTTTCTGAGCATGTACCAGATTTAAAATCGGGCTGTTAGCTTGAGTGGGCTGGTGCTGAGCCATGTCCAGGTAATAGAGCAGAATTTGTCAATTGCTATCATCCTCCTTTCAAGACCCTGCCATGGTGGTGGTAACATCACCACTGGTTTTGCTGAGCAAGTGGTGCTCCAAGAACAGCCAGCATGCAAATCACAGGCTCAGTTTTGGTAAACAGCATTGTGCATGCTTATGTGTAAGATCATGGTATAATCCCTACGTATCTGAACGTTGCTCAGGTAACACTGCCTTTTTTTTTTTTTCCAGTGTTTAAAGGGCATATACTTGGTTAATACCCATTTGTTTCATCTCACCATCGTCTTTTCCTGCCAGAAAGATCAAAGATGTAATGGGAATGAGCTGGTTGCAAACCAGTTTATTTTCCACCTGTTTACTTGATCTGGATCTGTCACTACTACTGCTGTATTAGCATTATTTTAAGTTGCTGCAGCCAGTGAGAGAGAGAGAGAGAGATAAAGAAATTAGTGATGGTCAGAACCATTTGAAGAAGGAAGGGGATACCTGTCTTAATTGGATGTGGTGGTGGGAGGGAAATAATGCCTGAGCTATAAGCAGGAAAAAAAATCAAAACAACAAAAACTCTGGATTACTTTCTCCGCTGCTGTACTGACAGTGATGTTATGTCCTGCTGGGTTTAGCTTGACATCATAACAGCAGCATGGTAGCTGTATATAGTGTTCAATCTAAAATATTTCATAACCTAGGCTGACACTGTCTGGAAGAATTTACCACCAAATGTATTCTCCAGGAATTTATTGCTTACATCTGTCTTTACCTTGTAGTGAAAGTAAGAGATGATGACCTCCTATTTCAGCTACTGGAAGAGTTTCCCCACCTGCATATTTCCCACCATACTATGAATAAGATGTGGCAGCAGCAGCTTGCACATACTGAACAACTTAAGGCAGCTTCTGGCAGAACTAGACCAAAACTCCAAAATGAAGTGAGTATTCTTGTCCTTGCCTTCTAAGTATCAGCAAGGATAGTACATCTGACAGAATAGTTAGCAGTCATCCGTTTGTATTGCATAATAAAATCATCCTGACTCTTTGTATGCAGCGTAGACAGGGTACGTGCACATCCAAAGCACAATATGAAAGGATGTATATCTGAGCTTGGTTAAATAGGGATGTACGTATCTAGACACATGGGTTCACTTCATCAGCCACTTGAATATAATGTTCATTTATCTAGTACTGCCTAGGATTGCTATTGCTTTTTCAAAAGCATTTTTTAGTTTCGAGTGCTAGTTCTAAACAGTCTTCTAGATTAAAAGTTCTGAGTTACAAAAGTTGATTAACTTATGCATGGTAATTCTCAACGTAAAACAACAAAACATAGCAGAGGGGCAATGTTTAAAACTCCTACGCACAACTGCCTGTCCTGCAGAATGATGTAAGTAATTAGCTTTTTTTTTTAAACCTCCAGGTTCAACAAGCCCTGAAGAAGCATGAGCTTCTTGTTGCAATTATTAAAAAAGATCAAGACCATAACAAGAGACTGGTATGTTCTTTGAAGGATATTTGTTACATAATACAAAGATTTCATGTTGAGCTAGCTAGAATGCATGTTCCCTGGTCCATGAAAGTGGCTTTCTATCTTACAAAAATTGTATGCCTCTTGAGTAGCTGTGGTCTCTATGTAATCTGCTTGCTGTGTGGCTACTGAGGTCATGGGAATGGAATATTATTATTACACTGCACTGTTGCTTTAAAAGTGCAAACAAATTCTAAGAATGTGCAAGGAGAAGAAACTTCAGGCTCCTGGTGTTGCTGGTGAAAACACCAGCTACTGTGGCAATACTGACTCCTTAATTATATAGTGTTCTTGATGGCACCGCTTTGCTAAATCAGTGGAAGCTTTAAACCATAAATGCAGTGTAAAATTGGGGTAAGGAGAAGGTCCTTAGTAAAGGACCCTATTTATTTAGCAATGATTAACAAACCTTTGCCTGCAGCAATATCTATTGGAAGCTTGGTGGTCTTACAGCTACTGTTCTCCATTTAGCAAGAATTTAAGCAACGCATCTGCCGACAGAAGTGGGCTCAGAATAAAGTGAGAGAGAAACGCCAGCAAATTGCTCGAGCCAGGAAATATTATGAAGATTACCGGGTTCAGTTGCGTGCCAAGATGATGCGGGCTAGGACACGGGAAGAAAGGGTAAGTACAAGATGTCTTGCTCTGCAAGTGTGGAATTCTTTTTTTGTTCGGACCCCAGTGCTGAGGACCCATAGTCCGGTAATGGGGCAAGTAGACAGAGAGCAAATTAAGTGAACAGAGCATAGGAGCCAGGATTAAATGGTTGGTCAGTCAAGGCCACAGATGAAAAGGGTCCTTCTCTGGAAACACTGATACAGTTCAGGGCAAACCACTGTAAAACAAGAAAGGATGCTTTATGGGGTTAAGAGAAAGAGAGAAAGAGTGAAGTATCAGTATGGAAAAACAGGGCTGGTAATATGAGAAATTGGGGAAATGAGTTTTCAGAAACAGTAGGATTAAGAAGTTGTTCCTATAGTTACTATCCAAAGAAAACAATCTAAATCTGCAGTTAAGGAAACTGATCAAAAAGACAGCTTTTTTATTCGGTTATGTTTGTTGAACAAAGTGGACTTTTTGACAGATACGATCTCTAATTAGGGCTGGACATCGGAGCTAAGGAAAGCAAGTAGAGTTACTACACTTTGCAAGAGCAGATACACAGTTCTTACCTTTTAAAATGAAAGACTAGCAGTTTAGTGCATAATCCACTATTAGCGATTTGAGAACTGTTTGCCTCGAGCTGCGCAGCACCGTAGCTGGTCAGTGTTCTGTTGTATAAATGGACAGCCTGAGTACAGGCTGGGTTTCCTGCTCTTGCACATCTGGACGAAGGTCCTGAAGTTAGACAACAGAGTGTAGGGTGGGCTGTAGATCACAGTGCATGTTCGAAGACTGGCTTGCATTGTTGGGTTGTCCGAAGCGATTTTAAAAATGCAACGTGCATTTGCTGTTCTAGCCCCTTTCTTCATCATAGGACTAAACTGACATGAAAAACTTATTTTATATATCAGAATTTCAGCTAAATGAGTAATAAAAATATAGCTCAGCTGTACCGGTACCACCATGACTAGATACACAACTGCGTGCTTTTTCATGGGCAATGACATATCTTCATGTGATCACCCTGTCGTCAGGAGATAAAGCAGCTGAAAAATGTAAATATATACTTAAAAGTTTCTGGGAAGGTTTTAGGTTTGCTTTTTTTAATTGCCGGCAGATATTTAAAAACTTATTTGAAGAAGGCTTAGAAATTCAGAAGCAAAGACTGAAGGACCTGAGAGCATATGCTCGAGAGAAGCGTGCTGAGCAAAGGAGAGAGCATCAAAATGAGTTGGAGTCTATGGAGAACTATTACAAAGATCAGGTAAAGCTTAATTTGTGAAGACAGTTAATATTTTTTTTACACTAGAAGTCTTTCCTTTCTTAATCAGTTCAACTCAAACACGTGTTATGCTTAGTTTTCCATGCTAGCAGAAGCTTTATCTCAAGAACACCAAGAAATCCAAACCAGAGAAAAAGCACAAGCACAAGTAAGTATTTTTCATTTTGCGTAAATGTCTTTTCTTTTTAGGTGTCGTGGCTAATGTCTGTGTTTTCTTTAGATGCTACAGAAAACAAAAAGAGAATTGAGATCGAGGATGGAAAAGGAAATACAGCAACTGCAAGCAGCAATAATGCAAAGTGATGATGACACCTTTTTTCAAGAACTAGAAGCAGACAGACTGAAATCTAGACTTCAGATGGCTTCCTTTCAGTATAGCAAAAGCCGTTTCTTGTAAGACTTACGGTAAATATCACTGCAGTTCGCTGGCTAACATGATGAGAATCTCTGAGAGCTGCTGTAACAGGAAGATGGCGTGTGGCTGTTTTTCTCTAAAATATCTGGTCTGTCATTTTGACACATCAGAGGTGTAGCTGCTGGTATCTGGGATCTCTACAGCACTTTTATGATCACCAATAAAGTTTTTAAACTACTTTCTACCTTCTTGGCAAGACTGAGATAATGTGGAGCTCCACACAAAGGACATGGGATGAAGTCAGTGTGCTTTAGTGAAGTTATCTTAGTAAAACAGTTGAATGCTAAGCCTCATCTACACCTGTGCTGGTTCTTACTGCTGGAGTGGAAAAGCCACGCTACCACCATTAGCCAGAAATTACTGGAGTGGAAAGCTCACAATTAAAGTAGATCTTTAAAAGAACATCAGTGGTTCAAGTTTCCCGTGGAAGGACAAGTTAGAGAGTACCTGCAATAAACCTGACATAAAAATCAGTAATTTTAATATATTAAAGCAAGGGAAGGCTACTTGTTCTACACAATACTAGGTTGCTGGCTTGTTAATGGCAAAGCACATAGAGTACTACTTCCTGTGCTACACCTGTATTGGAAAAAGTAGTTTGAAATAGAAAACAATGAAAATTATTCTAAAGCAGTAAAATACAAGCTTCTGCAAGAACTGAAACCTGGGAAGGACCCATGGACAGCATTCCTAATTATTTTCAGCAGGGGTATATTGATAGGTGTATGCTCTGTAGGTGTTTCTGTAGGGATTGCAATTGTTGGATGTCACACAGGGTTTTCAAAACTACACGTAAACAAGTAAAGTTTTGTTTCAATTGATCTATTTCAAAAGGGAGTCATAGTAATGCTATATACAAATGGGCAAGCAATAACAACGTAAGTAGTTTACCATGTGTACTCTTAGAAGCAGATTATTTGGACAAAAGTTTCGCAAGGGTACTTGTATTTAGTACCCTGTCTAGTTTTTTTAGGGAGAAGCAGATTGGTTCTAGTTCTGTCAGTGTGAAGCTAGAGTAAATAGTGATTAAAAGTTTCAGCTTTTACCTTACTTCAGGACGTAAGGTCTGCTTCTAGACAGGTACTACACCTATCTTTCTAGAATCAACATGTGCTATAAACAGTACGTTGTTTAGTAGAAAATTCAAGTTTCAGCAGCCACGCATTATGGGCCCTATGAGATGCAAACACAGAGGGATGAATACTTAAACTGAGAACAAACTACGTGAAGCCGATTACTGATATAGTCTCCTCTGCTTGACAAAATGGCAATTTTTAAATAGCTTGTCTTGGTAATGAGGATGAACTAAAGTGTAATTTTGAACAGGCTCTAGTAGAAGAGTTCTTGCTTAAAATTGCATGTGTGAGAAGTGATACAAACATACTGGAATTAATTGCATTGGATATACAGTATTTAAAGCTTGCCATGAGATGGTGTCTCTTATGGAATTGACACCACAGTGAATTAAGATTCATGCACAGGGAAGAGAAAAAAGAAAAAAAAGAGCTAAGGGGGAAAAAAAAGCCACCAGCAGCTGGAGATGCTTCCTTTACAGATTAAACAAGACAGCTGGCAGTTAGAGCATGTATACCTCACTTAAAAAACCACACGCAACAAAAAACCTCCACAAAACCAGAAGCCTACACGCCACCTTTCTTAACAACCATTTCCAGGGAGTTGCTATAAGCCAGGCTAATTTGAAGTCTTTATCTAAGGGACAATCTTTACCAGCTAAGTTGACCAAATTTAACAAGTCTTTACCAAATTTATTTACCTTTTTTCTTCCCTTAAGGAAGATGGTTTAGCTTTGCTGAATTTTGAGAGGAAACATCCGTTCACCAATGCCAAGATAAAGTCCTTGCCGAGACACGTGTACACGAAAGCCAGAAGTAAGACCTTTTTTGTTTGACTAGAACATTTAGCACAGCCCTTACTGTAGGTGACAGCATGTAGAAAGGCACCAAGTTTTAAGTATTTTCTCCTGAAACAAAGTTGAGTTACTTAAAAATGATACTGTTACATTTTAAAGTAAACATTTAAGAAAAACTTAAAACTTTTAAAACCATTGATGCTGTGACAGTGCAAACAGCATACAATTTATTGCTCAACTTCTGCATGGGTACATACATTAAGTACTTAAAAACCATTTTATACAGATTTTTTTTTGTTAAAGCTCATGTAACAGCTGGGTGAAAATACAATGATATCAATGCTAAAACACTCTGTAATAAATACAATGGAAATGATAAACTAAGAACTGTCAGTTTGTGGAGGAGTAATTACACTTGTATAAACTAATTACAACTACAGACGAAGCTCTGAGGAGATGTGGTAGAGCCAGAAACCTACTACATAGTGTAAAGTACAACAAATGGCACCTGTTAACTATGTGGTGCTGTTTAAAATCTGAAGCAATTGGAGCATGCTACATTAAGCTGTATGATGCATACTTATGATATAGAAGCAAAGCTTTTACTTCCATCAATGCAGCCAGTTTAAACGCACCAGAAGTTCAATACAGATGTAGTGTTGTAGAACAAGAATTTAAAAACGGCTTGTGTGCTCTGGACTTTAGTACAACACAAAAATTTGGTACAAATAAATCAGTTTAGGGAAACTGAAACTATGTGCAAAAAAAAATTAGAATACATACTGTACAAAGCACCATTACAAAACTCTTTACACCGAGAAATTAAATCCTCTGAAACTCAACTGTGTACTGTATATTTGAAATCTACAAAAGTCACTGTTCATAATTAAACATTCATAATGAAAAGCAACAGCATAAAACCATGATGTGACATCTCTCGAAAACAACTGAAGACTGGATAACGTAAAACCCAGTAAGAGGGACACATTGAAATAAATATTCACATTAATCATGGGGTGAAAGTCCAAGGTTAAAACGCAATATTTAGGCTTAGCACCTTTTTGAGGGGAAAGTAGCTGACATGATCTTGAAACAAAATTTTGCAAAGGAATCAACCCTTTGACATTTTCAGACGAACATCTGACTAGGTGATGAGGTGCTTTAGTTAAAGCTCTCAGTCATTACAAAGGTAGAAAGGCACTCAATACTTGGTGTATTCATCCTCATCTGCCACCTATGGAAGGTCAAACGTAGATTTGTCTAGTTTTGCCTGTAATATCTTAAATTTACAATATTTATCTGTGGCAGTTGAAAAAATTCTCTGTGCCATACCGAAATGTTTGGTAGAACAGACAGATACGCTGCTAAGGCTGCTGTGAAAATGAACGGTATTTATCAGCTGATCTAGAGTCTATATTCTGCAGAGCTCATCTCCTCCCTCTTCAGAAATGCTTTTATGACGTAAGGGTGGCCATAACTACACGTTCAATAAATTTACCAGCCTAAGTAGGCTGACAGGGAGAAGGTTCCTGGGAGGCAGGTATAGATGATGTGGTCAGGAGACACTACAGAGACAGTCTTTAAATAGTGCTGAGGTGAGCTGTCTGGTGCGAAGGGAAGAGCAGCATACCCTCCCCCTTGAACCACCTAACGGAGTCCTGACTTCTCCCAAAAGCTGGATCAAACTGGATTTTACATTTTTCATGTTTCACGACCAGGGAGGCTGCAGCCATAGCCTGAGCAAGAGTGGGGGAAAAAAAAAATTAAAAAAAAATCACTGATACAACACTGGAGTATCTATCCTGTGAACAGTGGTCAAAAGAACCTGCCTCTGTAAAGTCTCTGTAAATAGTAATTCACGTCATACCTCAAAACTTGAAGGGGCGAGAAGAGGTCTTTGGGAGTGTCTAAAGCAGCGGTCCCCAACCACAGGCAGCGGTACTGAGTAAGAAACACACTGGGCAACAACCTCCTTTGCTCTCCCAGGCAACCTGGACAGACGTAGCGGGAGCTTCCCCGGTAACAGTATTACCCGAAAGCTGTGAATGAGGGGTCCCAACTGGAGATGCAAAGGTACCAGCCATTTTACACGAGTGCAATAGTCCCTTGAAATGAATTTTAAAAAGGGTCTGATACATTTCAAACCTGGCTGTCAAAGCAAGTTTCTTGGCTTTGTTTACATCCCTAAGCAGCCTCATCTCTGCAGCCAGCCCGGAATGGGAAGCAAGTCTCTTAGAACAGACCTTCCAGCAACAGCTGTAAAAAAAAAATTAATCAAACGAACATGTGGATTTGGCTCACCGGATTCTTACCACAAATTCTACAAAAGTAGTCCATTGCCCACTATCCTAATACACAACATCCAGTAGTAGTTTACTCACTGTGGCAGTCAGATTTGGCAGAACAAAATTAAGTTCGAGCTCCACAGAACAGACAAAGTTAGCTAGTTCGCTGGGTGACTTACACGGCAAAAATGGAACAGCTGTTTACACCCCACTCTTTTAGCATTTTCAATACTTTTGACTTTCTTCTCATTGGCAGTGTAAAAATAGTGCAGATTTGATGATTAACTGTAATGTAAGTTAAAAACCCACAACACTGATTGGAAAAAAACCGCTACTTATTCCAAATATTCTCATCGCTGAGAGGAGAATGCCACCATCTCTTAAGCAGACTGATTTAGCTACACACCACGAGCAGATCATACAGACCTTAACTGAGAATTCCCAAACTAACTTCAAAGTTCCGTTCCCTCTACTGGTAGTGCATTTTATTCCCCTTTGAAGAGATCAACCCATGTTATAATTCATATATATACCTTACTTCCATCCCTACAATCAATAAATTATGTGCTTCTAAAACCTCATTTTCAAAGCACATTACACATATTTCAGTTAATACACCATTTTTCCTTAGTTGTAACTTAAACCCACATGTCATGAGCAGCTAGACAAAGATTACAACATGTTTTACCTGATAAATCTTTAGCATCGACAAATATATAACGTGATTTGGCTGCATTCAAACAAACTTTGGTTGACTGGACAGGATGGGTTCTGAAACGAACTGCTGACAGGCTTCTGCTGTCAAATATCACCTCATCAGCACGCTTAAAAAAGTTGAAAAATGCAGTGTTTAAATTTAAAGTCAAAAGCAACAAAAGGTACTCTTGACAGACTTGTTAGAAAAATGCTGTTTAAAAAAATCAAAACTTCTACTGTTCATTAAAAAAGGTCTATTCCACATGTTAACACAAGTACTGTACCAAATACAGCATGTGTCACTCACACCAGAAATTTTGTTTAAGGAATCTGACAAGTGATATAAATAGGACCCCAAAACATCGTATTTGCAATTCATGCTTGAAAAATATAAAAAAGCCCCCTGTGGTAACATTTAAGTTGAATTTACATTGCAGAATATAATGTTTTACTATAAGAAAATGCAGTTAACATGTAAGTGGCTTTAATTAAAAAGATTAACGATCCTTTCAGCCAATTTTATGCGAAGTTAGAATAATCCAAAATATTTTTTCCAAAAATAGCAGGTATAGATGCTGTTCAGTATCATACATTTAAAACAGGCTGAAACGTGACTTGTACCGACTGCTGAAGTTGTGTCTTGGTATCTGAGAATAGAAATCAGGTAGGCAAATATAATAGATTACCTTTTACAAAAATAGTAGTAGTCTTTAAGTATAGAATACTGCTTAACTGTTGAAATGTAGGAAAAGTCAGCATTCTGTATGTTCAAGATATTAGTTTTTAATAGCAGCTGAATGATCCTGTGGCAGGAACCACAGAACCTATTTTCTTGAAATAAAATAAAATTAAAAAAAAAAATTCCAAAGTTGTCCTTTCCCTCCCAGTGTCCTAGTGTAGAAAAGGGAAAGTTTCCTGTATTTCAAGCATTTCTTGAGTCTTGGCTGAGGGAAGGGCTTTCTGGCTGACAGGAGTATAAATAGAGTCTCAGGTAAGCCTGTGAAGGGTCATTCCACAGCAAACCCACATGTTTCTTCAATGGCAGTTAGCAGCTTCTCGTATAGCTTGTCATAGCTCTCGTAAGGAGGAATGTCTATTCGGTTAAAGCTGTGGGAAGAAGGCAGAAGAGTTTCAGCTATCTGGAACTTCAGGCATCACCTAGCAAAGCTCCGTTACGCTGCATTTAACGGACCTGAAACCATGACAAAGCAATACTGAACAAGGCCAACAGAACTTCATACAATTAAAAGCAACCTCTAGTTTTCACACCTTTACTACTCTGTAACGGAGAGCATTTATTAAGCTGGGGGGGGGGGGGGGGGGGGGGCCGACACCCAAAACACAGAGGTGGCAAATTGGTCTTTATATATCGCGATAGGGACCTGAAAAAGTCTTACCAGGTATGAGCTTTCGGCAAATTATTAGTGCTGGCATCAATCTGGTGTATTGTAAAGAGTCGTGGGCCTGCAGCACCTGAAAATCCAGAAGAGATCTCTACTACTACTGTATTGCATAATAGGAAATTTCTTCGTTGCAGTGCAACAACAACAAAAGTCACTAAAACCACAGAGAGAGCGAAGCTATGCACAAAGAAAGCTGAAATCATAAACAGGCAGGAAAAAAATTAAAACAAACCCACAGCGCCTATCAGACAGATTCCTCCCCTCCACCCACACACGATAACCGTGCTGATATTTAAACCATTGAAAGATAAACAAGAACAAAGCACTGATAAGGAGGAATAAAATACCTGTTTTACACAGGGCACTATGTAATTCTCACAGTTTTTCATTTGACTTCTCTCACCCTTCCTAGAGAACAAAACTTTTGCAGCTGTATCTGTCCCCATTTTATAACAGGTCTTGAGTAGCGGCCAGTTCCATTCAAATTAGGTAGAAGAGTCACCATACCAACTTCTTATAATTTTGTTAAATAAGTCTGACTAAACAGAGATCCCCTTAATCTCTCTGCTAAAGAAAAGGCTGCAGCACATCAATCTTTTAGACTTGGTGTACGTTGAAGATTTCACAGAGGACAGAAGAGGTTACAAATGCCCTAACCTTAGTAAAACTGGAATTCTTGCCTGAGTAGACAGACATTAAAGAACATAATCTACAGGGTCAGCCTTTCTCGTGGAGACTCTCTGTGGTCAAATAAGAACGTGAGCTTGTGCCTTGTTAGTACAACTCGATCTAAAACCTGACAACCTTCATGTTCTAATCTGTAGGAAAGCAGGCTTCATTTGCTCACAGAAATACTTTTTACTTGTATAATCATACTAAAACTTGCAGCACAGATGAAGTTAAACTGGTGTTACTTCCATTACCATTCTCCAGACAGCTCACTCCACTACATTGACAATATGCACATCAACAGTAGGGTTAATAACTACTTGTAGTTATTAGGTGGTTAACAGTTACACAATTTGCCTAAACGAGTCCCCCCGCCCTCTGCAATGTTACTTAAACACTTATCACTTCAAGTACCACACGCTGCTTAAAGTAACTGGGGTCTTAAAAACCTCAATATTCCTGAGCTTCTAACGTGCCTGAACGTTTCAGAGCTCAAGAACAGAGGAAAAAGAAAACAGTGAAAGTAGTCGGCGTTCCGAAGTGCCTCTGCTGTCAGAGCCGCAAGGACACTGCATGTTGGTGTTTTCTGCTCCCAGAGCTGTACAGGTGATGAGGCCTTGTGAAAGACAGAAATTAAAAAGCAGGCTTCCAGAAAAAACATAAGGAGAACCCCACCAACACCTCCGCTGATCAGAACTTCTCGCTAGAGAAGGAAGTGCGTAATTTAAACAAAAGAGCTATTTACAGCTGAATAACAAGGTAATAAACAAACACACCGAAAAGACTATTTGTGATTGTTATTCATCAGACCATTAAAAATCGCTCTTAAAAAGTCACGTTACAGCCAACCAGCCTCATTTTCAGCTAATGTGTCTGTGATGTGTCCTATTGCTTCCTCCAAGTACAGGCATTTGCAGTTACTTCTGGAGAACGTTACCTTGTAATGCCTTGAAGCCCTGCAGAGGCACTCTGGATGAGCCAGTCACAAACTGGAGAAGTCTCGCTCTCCTCTCTTCGTCAAAAAACTCCACAGCTTTCCAGAACCATTTCACGATGTTGCTGTCTGGTGTACAGTGTTTTAACCTAGTATTTGCCTTCCAGTCATTAACATCAATTTTTCCCAGTCCACAAATGATGAGCTGTAAGTTTAAAATATAATTATTTCATCATTGATCAATATAAAAATGGTTTTGGAGCTAGCCAAATGATGAATAACTGATATTGAAAAATTGACGGATTTTATACCAAAGGCAAATTATAACCTCTCACTAATCTTAGGCAATGCAGAAATATAACTTTTCTTTTTTTTTTTGTCTTACCTTTGTACACAATCCATTTTTTACACGGCCTCCATTCAAATTAAAAAAAAAAAAAATCAACCATTTCATAAGCTTATATGGAAGTGTCTTGACCTGTCAATTAAATAACAGAAGCACAGATTCTACCCATGTGTGAAAGTGCACGCATAATTCACATCTGAACTCAGTATTTCTTTCTGGAGCGTAGCTGAGGGTGTAGTTTGGCTGGTCCAACTCTGGACCCTCAAAAGTAATCTTGCTGTTGTCATGCCACACATGTAATACAAATCAGACTTCTCTCCTGACGAAGAGCTTTCAGCGCTTCTAAAACGGAGATCCACAATGGATCAGTTGACGCTCAACAGGGGTATGATTATGAAGACGTTTTCTAGCGACTAAGAACGTTGGACCTTCCCCTTTCTTATTCTGCATCTGCAAAATGATTCTGGGTTAACAGTACGGCTGGCTCACTGCTGCTGAATGAGAATATTCAGGATAAAAGAAGAGCCATCACTGACATTCTAGTACCGTGAACAGAAGAAAGCATGAATAATTCACCTTGTGGCCATTTTACATGGCAAAAACCTCAGCTCCACAGCTAACAGACTGTGTATTAGATTTCAGTTTTAAAACAAGCTTGGGATCTATGGGATTTGCCTTGAGAGGATATTGTTTGGATGCCGATCTTGACATTTTGTAGCACGTTTGCCAGTGACAGCACCAGACGGCACCTTTCCTTACGCTGTATTTACAGGGCCAATTTAGTCTGGCGCAACTCGGCTCTGCAGAACCACATAGCTGCCTGACACCAAAGTCAGTGCAGTGCACTGGAAGGGCTGGGAGCAACTGGTGGGAGGTGGGAGGGAGTGACAGACTATTTTCCTGGCAGCACCAAATTTAGTGTTGTGAAACTGCACCGTCAGAAACACGCACCACCACCTCTGCTGGAGCAGCACAGTGAAACAATCTGAGGTCACCGCAGTTCCTTCTCAGTAGGTTCAGCTGCGTTTTCAGGTATAGGAGAGCGTCTCTTCTGCTACCACTTCTGCAGTTGCTACGAAATGTCGCCTTGAGATCACTCTCATAGCTCTCGGTGGAAGGCACACGCAGTCTCAGTGACTGTGTGACCTGGTAACCTCTTACGCTAACTGTATTTCTTGTAACAGCGCACCTGCAAACCCCTAAAGCACTGGGGACACAACTTCGCATGTTACTCAGTCTCGGAAGAATGCCTCAGGCTTTCATTGTTACACTTGATGACATAACGTAACGTTAGCGGACTGACCTCTAACTCTTTCTCATCAAATGTCTTCAGCAGATGTTGTGGGATTACTTCATTAAATCCCTTCTGTAGAGCCAGAAACTGAGCTTCAATTCCTCGTAAAAATCGCCAGTTTACATAAAGTCTGCAAGCAAGTGCAAATTGGTTTTGTGAAAGATGTATTCAAATACAATAAACCTGCGATCTACCCAGCCAAAAAAATGGCCTTACTGACAGGAATACACACACCACCAGCATTGCGCTACCACTTAGGAAAAAACCCAACAACACACACTGTCAATTACTTCAAATAAGTAAAAGTTCCTCCCCACCACAGGAAATACAAAAAACTTTGGAATAGATATTGAGGTACCTGACATACTCCTTTTTGTTTTCCTCTGTCACGGGGATGCTTTTGCCGTTGGGTTTCAGTTCGTGTTGAATAATTTCCCCGTATGCATTGTGTTCTACACAAAACGTATGGTCCAAGACTCCCGTGATATCATTCTCACTGGTGGAAAGAAATAAGCAAGTGACTCAGTGAAAACATGTAAGTGTATTACAGCCATAATATATCTGACAGACATCACAATTTAGTTTTTCAATAGCATTTCAAATTACTGCTTGGAAGCAAAAGGCGAACATGCATTTTTACTATGTTGTATTTTAAAACCATTATCAAAGTTTCAATGTTATATTTTACATAACGTGTTACTGCTAATAGGCAAAATTAATAAATTAAAATTTATGAACAGAGTACTTTTCATCTCAGTAATCATTTTACCCCCGCCCCCCAAATTTGAATACCTTGAGCATGTTAAGCCTTTAAAGAAGCTGAATTGTGCAAGAAAGATGTGTCTTAAATCTGCCTGAGCAGAAGATCAAAATGCACTTCATTTCCTTCAACTGGATTTAGGAACATTACCACATGTTAACCGAGACAGAATGCTAACATTGTAAGATACAATATGCAGTACATACAGTATCCAGACTAAGCTGTTATGAAGATCGGGGTCAACCAATTCCATGTCATCCAAAGTAATTGGCTTCCCTAGCAACTGCTTGTAGAAAGGCAACGTGAAGCCCCCATCAATATAGTGTCCGTGAAACACAGCCATCCCCATTATCCGTCCAACAAAATGGAAATACGATAAGTGTTCCTAGAATTGAAAGAAGAGACTAAGCCACTCAGCTAAATAAGCCCTCCAGGTTGTATCTGCTGAATATGAAATGCAATTTCAATACAAAGAACAGAAAAAAAAAAAAAACCCAACATATCCAGAGCTTTTTGTTTTGCTTTGTTTGTTTTTACACACAGCACATTGAGTATATTGCTTCCAGTCCAGAAGTCTTACTACTAAGAATCAAAATAAACTTAATTTCTCCCAAAGGAAACATAAATCGACATCTTACAGAAACTTAAGAACACATTTGAGAAGTTTCTTTGATCAGTACTAAAAATAAATTATATTATTGCACAAATTCATTCTCTAGCAATACTAATGTGAGAATTAGGTTCCCAAGTCTAGAACTCTCTCCAGATGTATTTAATTTCTAGTCACAAAACAATCATTTACAGAACTCATGTTACCAGTCATACCGGGTTGACTGCAGAGTCTGGGTTGATTTGCAGTGTATAGATATCATCTCGGGAATATTGGAAGAGGCCGTAATATGGATTCAACATTTCATGTGACAACAGGTAGAGCCACTCCCTGAAGAAAATAAAATAATTTATTGTGTACTTTAGACAGATGCATTCCTACACTGAGAATCTTTTCAAAATAGTGTGATTTTTTTAATCTTGCCATTAAACATAAATGTGAAGAAAGTGATCTCTGAACATGCTGAAAGCAGAATTATTTTTACTGGCTCAGTAACTCCATGGCACCTGACAACTGATGTATTTCCCAGCTTTCCAAGATTTTTCTCCAGGTTACTTATTTCCAAGAGAGTTTCTGACTGTGATTCTCCTTCATCCATGACACACTAAGACAAGACACTATGTATTCTATCGACTATACTACAAGAGATGTTCGAGTCAAAGATTTTGATATAAACATCTTCAGGTAATGGATAGGTTTAGTTAAAGTTTTAATTAATTGTTCACAAATCAGTAAATAATGGGATTTTTTGGATCTAAGAGATGTATGTAAAATTTTTGGATGTAAAAAATGGGATAAATAAAATTCTTAAATTGGGAAAAGCCTAACGCTTCCTAGCGTGGTCTACCTGTATTCACGGATGGAAGATGACAAAGGCTCCACGGCACGCAGGCTAAAAACAAAACCCATGCTGAAAAGTACTAGCAGATGCTTTGGAAAATAGCGCACGATAACATCTGTAACGTCTTTATTTTAAACACTACTATTATCATCAAACAATTAATAGTAATTGATTCAACGAGACTGTTTTACTAGTTATGGCGAATCAGCATGTTAAAATATTTAGGAATGGATGAAGTGAAAACTCTGTTGGCTGTTTGCAAACTCATCAAGATACGTGCAACGCAACAGCCGAGGTCCCAGAGGTTACTCGCCACACACCAACTACAGACGCAGAAAATGGGCTGTTTGGGAGCATCGTCTGTACTTCGGAATGAATACTAATGGTAAAAAAAAATGCAGCGCGATGCAAACAATGAATACTCCTAAAAGAGTCAGCACTCATTCGGAGAAAGCAGATCCACATGCCAGAGGTTGGGAATATTTTCAGTGAAGTAGACCAGCATCCGTGCAATTGGCCCGCAATTCCTAACAGTGTTTTAAAATGCGAAGAGTATCTTCACACAATCAATAAATGTCACTTTTTATAGGCAAGTGAAAAATAACCTCAGACCGTTGACAGACTTTAGTTGCCTATGAACTGCTAGTTTTTAACATTTTGCTTCAAACGGTAGTGATAATTTGCAATAAAGCATATTTTTTTAATCAAAGTTCTGCCACAAAGCCGAGTATTTAGCGATATAAATTCTCAGATACCCAAGCTTTACTAACCGAAGAAAAATACGGTAATTTCAATAGATACCAAAAGCCTGCCACGCGTATACGATAGACATCTGATGCAATCTGTAACATGCATTTTGATTTATTTACAATAAATTAGTTCTTTTTTGATGCAGTTTTTCCTTTAGAAGACTGAAAATATATTCTCCTGACATACAATCTGTTACAGAAATAAATATAAATAAGAACAATGGAAAAAGAAACAGGGCCGATAGAAGGCTGGTTTAGGACTTAAAGCACGGGTGTAGTTGGTGGGGTTGGGGTGCAGGGGAAGAGACAGAGGACGGACTGTTTACCTGGCAACACCTCCGTAATCGAGGCCTTCCTCCCCACGAAATTTTATCATTAATCGTTTCCACAGGTCTTTTGGCCTCATCTTCATGACTTGCCTGTAGGATTCCTGTAAACACGTAACACTTTTATTAACTGCTATTTACAGACAGAGAAGCTACTGCTGTTTATTAGAAATGGAGTCTCAGACTCCACGTCCAAAGGGGATACTGTTTTCCTAGATATTAACCACTGTTTCTCAAATCACAGACTGTTACTTAGTTTCCTACAGATGTGATAGCACTTGTCAAATAAAACAGATACGTGAGAAGAACCACCTTCCGTTAAATTTCCAGAGGTGTACAGTGATCAGAATATTCTCTCTCTCTCTCACATAACTTACAAAAAATTAAAATCTGTGTCATTAAACTCCTTTTGGTTTGCATAAAGGCTCACAATTTTTGCAGTCTGAAAAGCCAACAGCGGAGCTTCTACTCTGGATATAACACATGTGCCAACCTTCAGGAAGCACCTTAAGAACAGAAGCATGAATGCCATCCCAGCAAATCTACAGAACTATTCCTCTATCAGGAAGACTTCACCGAGAAAACACAAAACGAAAGCTGAAAGAGGCAAAACAAATGCTATTTTTTTAAAAGGAATTAAACAAAAAAGTCTAGTTTTTATTTATGTCCAGTATCGGTGCCCCAATCTTTGCCTTTGCAGAACAGAAGAGGTAGGTGTGTCTGGGACCCAACATACTCAACTTAGTTTTCAGAACAAGAACATAATGATTTTCACCGCTGTACAGCAGCCTTTCCTCCCTTTCTTTTTCAGTTGATTATGAAGTGATTTGACTGCCTCCAAAGGGAAGACCAACACAGATCTTTCTTGGCTGGAAAAAAATGTCACAACACACTGGGGCTATCAACTTTGTGGGTGGGGTAAAAATGCAACAGGGATGGGTGGTAAAGTTCTCAAGAAGACAGACTATTCTGCAGAAAAAGCCAGTGAATTATAACTGCGTTTAATCAATTCAGCAGAATTATTCTGCTGAATAATGTCACAAAATAAAATGCAGACGTCCCACTGTGCGCATCTCTGGTCATTCAGAAGCCTAGACAATTCATAAAATTGGTCTGACTGGGGGGGGATCAACCAGAATTGAGACAGATGCTAACAGAGTTAGCATCCAGACTCCAAAGATGAATGCTATTCAATGGTAATTTTACTTAAGTTACAACAGACCAAAGATCAGTAATAATTGTTTGGTTTTCAATTTGTAACATTCCCTCTGGAACAGACATTAGCGTTCTTCTATTCAAGGAAGAAGTGAGACAGCATCTTGAAGTGCTTGGACTCCTTCCTCAGTCCCTGACACAGTCTGTGCATCTCCAGCCACAGGGAAAGCTTTCCTCGTTTTTCTTCTTCTCTACAGGGTAAATACACCTACTTTTAGTACACAGCTGTTCTTAACATCCCCTTGGAAATGCTTCCTCTTCCATTCGCCACCCGTAACATTCCAGCTTGAACTCCAGACTTCAAGATTTCATCTAACTGAATGACTTCTTTAGACAGTTATGAACAACCCTCCTCCCCTTCCCTCAATGTTAAGAAATGGGTCAAATTCTCAAATTACCTCAAAAATCTCTTCCCTGGAGACCTCAATACGACAATGGCCAGCTTGAGGTTGCTGCTGTGACAGCTCTTGCCTCAGGATCTTGAGTTTCTGCACTAGGTCTCGCTTGTACCTTGGCACAGTCAGACACTCTGCCTCATCTGGAAGCTGACACAGGGACACTACCTGCTGCTGCTGCTGGTGTTGCTGATCTTTAAGTTGATTCTGGCGGCTAGAAACAAACACAGCTGTTTGCAGATATTCAAGTCATACGTCCCCTATTTTCTTCAGATGTTTCTTAAAGGTTAAGTCTTTGTAACTCAACTACTTTCAATTTACTATGATTATTACTGCGATTACGCTAAAAATGTCCAGGTCCAGTAAAAAATAAATTCAGAGAGATTTTATCCTGACTAAAGACATATGCTTCTGTCTTTCTTGGCAACTATCAGTTGTTTTTAGGGTTTGTTATTTCTATTAGTACTACTCTACAAAGTATGTAAAAGGTTATAGCACTATATAATAAGGTATTATCCATACAATTTTACTACTAAGCTGCTGACACTGAATTTCTCAGATACCATTTCCATATTTCCTTTGCGTGTTTTGCCTTCCTCCATTTTAAAATTCAGGGATCTGCCAAACACTATGCCTCTAATCTACAGTCAATACCATAGTCTGTTTTAAATGGCTTGTCTGAAAAAGAGTAAGCTTACAAAAAGATGTTTGTACTGGCAGCTTGGCAAGGACCTTGTCCCTTGTACCTGGCCTAGTCTGGACCACAGGAATGTGGGAGTTCACATGTAACTAATTGGCACAGATAAACAAGTATTTTTACTAGCAATTCTAAGAGGCTTTGCAAATCTAACTTCTTACCAGGAAAACTAAATTAATCGTGTTGCAGAGATGTCGCTTCTTGTACACAGTAAGTGGCTATTTTTATAGCTTTTTAGTATGGCATTTCCAATCAACACAGGATAAAAGTGGTATTTTACCTAAACCGTGAGAAGAATATCTCTGTGCGGAACACATAGGAATACCCTAAATTTACTGGATAAATAAGAAAGGTTACAATTCAGAATGTTTTCCAGTGGAATATTAATAAATTGGGGTTTTTTCAACATCAAAGACCAAAAATATTTGATGGAACCAAACACAGTTTTAATATATTTTAAAATTTCAGCCTGTTGTCTGTTTTCAAACGAGGTTTACTAAAAGGCTGTCCCGGCCAACCAAAATTCACCTCCAGCAGGCTTTTACCGCAGGAACATTCAGAATTGGCAATTAAAAAAGGGGTGGGGGTGTTCCCAGTTTGCCTTGTGGTTCTGACAGCTATTCCGTCATTTGCAAACCTTCTATTTAAAGCAATTTTGCACAAACCACCCTCAAGGGAAACTAACACCAGGTGACCAGGAAATCTTTATCAGTACTCTTACAAGCGTAACATTTAGAAACCCCTGCAACAGTACACATTGTAGATCCCTTCAGCAATAACTCAAAGCTTAATATTAATAATAATAATACCTCTTTACTCCTGGGCTCTAAGGAGGGAATGACGCACAGAAATCCTACTTTGTTACTATGCCCCAGGATGCAGAACTTCAGAAGTTAGCTTCATCGATTTTGTTAGTTTCGCAGTGTTTTGTTGTGTGCTCCTGCTGTTTGTTTAAATGAAGCTACCTTAACTTTATTCTCAAGCTGATCACATCGGTCTTACAATAAACTACCGTTATTTTAAGTCATTCCTGAGAAACCAAGTCATTACAATAATTTAGACACACACCCCATGTGGTTCCAGACTAGGGCTTTGTGTCATTTGTGCTACATGCATGGCACTTTCCACTTGTGATTAGATTTAAGTATGAATCTCGCTTAAACTGTATTTATTTGATATACAAATTAAAGGACAATCATTGTTCTATCTTCTGAACTTTCTAATTCCATAAGGATGAGCATGTGAAAATATTCCTTGTATGTGCCTACCAGAGAAGGTCAAAATTATGTACTAAAGTGTGCATATGTTCGTACTACCTTTGAGAGTAAAAGAGACACAGACCCCTCAACACAAAGCTAGTCAGTGTCAGTCGTAAAGAAAATGTAATCTCTGAAATGAGCACGAACTTAAGATCTACGCATCAAATTAAACCAATCTAAAAGAGGGCAGTACTAGGAGGAGAAAAATAAAATGCCATCATCCATGTTAGACTAAAAATAATCAGTGCAGTATTAGCTAAAAAATCTGCAGTGCTTAAAGTCATTAAATCTAATTTCTTAGTTTGTTTTCACAGCTGAATGACTATGCTTGATTCTGTACAGTGCTTTAAGGATATAGCTAAGCACTTTTCAGGTGCCATAACTATCAAAACCTATCATGAACTCTTGGCCAATATTTTAAAACAGAACTGGGAAACAACTTTGATTATTTTCATAACTTATAATGTCATCACTAGAAGAACAAACTGCTTTACTCAGCTCGATAGAAAAGTCAGTATCACCGAGAGTAAAGTGATACTTTTTATTATGCCTTTGAACCTAAAACACTATCACACCCATCCCACCCAAATACTAAACTTATTTCTCAGATAATTTACAAAATGACAGGCCTAAGGCAAACTTTTTTTTTTTTTTTTTTAAAAGAATAAGTAAGGAGATGGGTTACGGGGGGTGGGGGGGAAGCTTTCACATATCCTGTTTGGTGCAATAAAAGAATAAACACCAGAAAAGATTTATCAGGCAGCAGACTTTGCTGATGACACTGTTGGTTGAATTTCTGAAATCCTTCCCTAATGAAAGACAGATGTACAAATGAAAAACTTAAGCACACTGTAGTAGTACTTAAGTTTAAAGAAATGCAGAATGGTTCTGTGATTCTGGAACTTGAAAGTCAAATTGGATTTTCCAGATAAAAAGCTAGCTATGTATCTGCACTCCACAATACATGTAGAACTAGCCACTATGACCCTGCTGCCATTTAAAAATAAACCTACCTGTGAAGGACAGTTTTTCAAATATAGTCCAGTTAGCTGAATTTTCTACAGTTTAAGAATTGCACTGTTGCAGCTAAGAGGGTCTGAAGTTTTCCTTCGGGCAAAATATCTAAATCTGAATTAATTTAATGAACCTTTCGGTGTACCGAACGTGAACATGTTCCTCCACACTGGTAAGTTTTTTTTCAAGATCATGTTCACTTGAAACTACCAATCTAAATTCAGCTAAAATTAGTAGTGATTTCTTTGTTTTAAATTAAAAAAAAGAACCAAGAGTGTCTGGATGATGGGAGCTTACTGATGTTCTGTAATATACATGTATATAACCAATGATTTCTCTAAACAAAATACATATCTGTCAATATTTAGACTCTTCTCCCTTTTGGAGTGTTAAGTTCAAATGTGTATTGGGCAGACAAAGGCTAGCCAGCTTTTATGTATTACACAAAATATATGTTGACCTCCTAGATATTACTTTCCATTCCTCGATTTTGTCTTTTCAGTGCTTGTTCCCATTATACTTTCCTTCAGCTTTTCTTCCCAATGATTCACTTCCTTAAAAGGACTATTCCTCCTACCTACTCCTTGCCCAGGGCTGCGTGGCTTTCTATCTAACCAACTCTTCATTGTTTCTTCCACTTAACACCTACTCAATACTTTACAGGTGTTTCCCAAGAGTATTAAAAGGTGTTAGGAGGAGAAACAATAGAGTCAGACTCAAATAGCTCGGACAAACTGATAGCCATGTCTACGCAAAAAACAAACAAACAAACAAACAAAAACAAAAAAAGAAGTGTTTGCTTGCTTTTTCGTTTCCATTTTTAGTAGAAAATCCCCCAGTGTGAAATGAGCACTTAGGGAATAAAAACAAGAGTCTTTTATTAAAGTTGTTTAATAAAAACAACTCCTTTTGAGTTTCCCCTTCTCTTTTTAAAAGTGCAATACGAAAATGCGATATCAAAACACTAAGGCAGAAAAAATACAGTTCCTATTTTATTTTATTCTTTTGGTAAAAAATCTGAGTTAAATTACTGGGGTCTTATTTTGAGAACATCTCAACTAGTCTTACTCTAAAACTGAAGACAGGAGCTGAATTATTTCTCCTTTATTCCAGGAGAATAGCTGGGCACTCGTGCGCTTGCTTAAGTCATCAGTATTTCATACCCCCGGCTATTGAATGCAACGTCATATTTTAAAACAAGTAGTGCATAACTGAAAGTAGTATGATGTATAAAGAAAAGGAAAGAAAGTGTCTCTCTTGCTGTTAGAAAAAATGTTATGGGCCAATCTTTTCCACCAGACAGCACTTGCTTCCCCCGCTGCTGCCCCCAACTCCCAGCATCACAATAGCCACATTCCTGCCTAAATGCTGCTAGAGAGTTTTTTTTTTCCCCAAGAACCATCAAACCTGTCTTCTCCGTTATGTAACAGAGTAAGTTGGTAGTGTGTTAAAGAACACAGTTACTGTACTTTAAATACTACTGAATGGCAGAATACATCTTGATATAAAATCTAGCACCCCTCAAGAGTCACTTTCTTTCCTCTATTACACTCAACATGTGCCGGAGACTTCAGACTTACTTTAAGACTAAATGCAAGTTAGCAGATAGCCGTGGATCTGTAAACTGTGTTGTCCTGTTGTTATGGTCAACAAAATAAACTCTGCCTGTTGCTGTATTTCGGATCTCCCATCCAGGAGGCAGTGGACCAAGCTCTTCACAATTGATGTTGCTAAGATCCCTGTGAAAACAAATATAAAATGAAAAATACCTCAGCATTTGGCCTCCGAGCCAAACAAGCGTAAATGTAACAGAACAATTCCATCAAGTCTGAGAAAATGTATTGTTTCAGAAATTTGATCTCTTCAGCTGGAATCTCTACTCCCAAGGTGCAAGCCCACCAAAGAAAAAACACACACCCAGAACACATGCCGTGGGGAAAAAAATTCTTATCAAATAACCTTCATTTTTACAAACTAACTTCAGATGTTAAATTAATACAGGCTTATAACAAAAATAAAGACCATTGCCATATTTGCCAAAATGGAATTGCAGTTCTACACCAATTCTGACAGAAAACATTTTTAAAACATTAGTCATGTAAGGAACTCTGAATCACACTTTAAAAACTCCTACAAAACAAAACTATATTTCTGAAGAGTTATACTTTCCATGAAGAATTACGCATGGGATATGCGTGTATGCCACAGGCAGTTTTGCCCCAAAACCCCAAGTGCTAGCGGGAAGCAAACAGCTCTCTAAGAAACTATTTCAAATAAAACATTATATGAACGATGACTTAGCTCTGCACTGAGCAATGCAGGGATATCTTAATGGGTCTCAAGAAAATTCTGCTGAAATTAGGAAGATGTAAATTCATTCCGGAGGTTCACTGAAAACAAATACTAGTCTTCAAAAATGTACACCTACTGATTTTTCATGTATATAATTCACACCTCAGATACCTCACACTGTCAAGTGCAGCTCTTTTTAAAGGTGTAAGTCTTCAGATCTCCTGGTACGATGTGAGTTGAGGGAAGGAAAGAGCCAAGGGGCAGAATGGCTAAAGATGCCGTCTGCAAGGACTCAAAAGGCTGAGAAGCCACTAAGGGAAATACAAGGCTCTGGGACTGAACTTCTGCTGATATTACCCATATACACACTGCGGCTGAACTGTAGGGCTTATTTTTATTAACTAAATGACTGTGGCATATTAGCGTAAAAATACAATATTCCTTAGAAATGACATAAACTCTATCCTCGTGCAAACAGCCAAATTTTGTTCTCAGAGACACTCGTGCCGTTTCTGTTGCCACACCTAAGAGCAGGGCTAACTTAGACTTTGTACAGAACTATTACACTGCAAACTTAAGGATTAGATCTTAACATATTATTTTTGAAGAAGTCTAGTTTCTAGTTCTGTATAATACACAAGTCGTGGGAGCAGACTTCCTAATGCACAACTGCCAGCTGTATCCCACTCTCAAGTATACAGATAATGCATCAAAGCAAAGTATATTCTTGTAACACAAGAGTAGTAATAAAAACAAAAGAATCATTCGAAAACGCAGTGAACTTAGGGCCATGAGGCACTTCATCCTTCCCGGGATATCCAAAATCCATTTCCATGGGAATGAACACCAGCAGCAACTGACAAAGTTGCTACAATTCTCATAAATGCCAATACTGGCTGCCAATTTCAAACTACACACGCTATTTTACAACACCATCCACAGACTCTAGGAGGCAATCATTTTCAACAGGATTTCTTGGTTTTCGAAAGATCAATCAGAAGCTAACAATAATTTCCCTGTTATCCTTCTTTCCTTTCAAGCACATCAGAAATAATCACGTGTGCAATATGTACACGTGTGTATCGTGTAAATAAAGACACTAAACTAAAAGGACACTTCAGATTTATTTTCTCCTAGGTGTTGAGATAGCCGCAACAGAAATAGCAGTTTGAGTATTTTAATCACAGGTCAGTCTCTCTCAGCTTCTCTACCTGTTTGCCCCTCTCCCCCAAATTCTTTCCCATTTATATACTGCTAATGAGATGCTTGAAAGCATATATGATTGCTCTAGGAATATCCATGTTAGACCATTATAAAGAAAATAAGCGTTCCTTTCTGCTCTGTAACAGGAAGCCTGCTGTAAAAAAGCTTGTGCATTTTTAGATGTTTGCTACTACACTCAAATGGAAAAAACTACTTTTTTTTTTTCCTTCCTTTTTTTAAAAAGGCCCAATATCCTGGCACTTTCACACTTCAAACACAGCTCACCATTTCAGCTTCCAGGCTTTTGATGACCCAGTGTCTCCAATTAGTTTCTTCAAAATGTACCAAGTTTCCCATTCCTTGAGTAAATTACATTTGGTAGTCTGAACATGGGACAATAATTCTCACAGACAAGTAAATTTAAGCTAATTCGATGATGAGATTGTAGTTCACTGCAAATAGTGTGTCTAAACATACAAGGGGCATCCACCAGATTTTTCAGGTTTTCCCCTTTGTCTGCTCCTCCATCAAAAATGATCACGTTTCTCTAGACTATTTGTCACAAAGTTTGTTCTTCATAAATATATGTTGCCAATTTCTCAGGTCTTGTTAACTTCCAGAGCCTGAATTAAAAGACAAAACCAACCCAGTTTTCACTGAAGTATCTCAATAAATCTAGATTTTCGGACATGCTCAGAACCCTCTTTTTGTTTCATTATTTTGCAGAGTATTATAACCTGGACTTGGCTATAATTCATATGCAAGATCTAGAATCAGTTAACTATAGCTGTTTTCAAAACACCACCGTAATTTATTTCTTGATTTTCCACCTTTGCATTAAAATAACAATTTGAAGAACTGAGGAAGAGAGACTAATTTATTTTGATTAATTACTTGTTAAAGTGATATATTAGGGACCAAGAGTCAGAAATATAATACCAGACAGAGAACTCTGAGGACTGTACTGGTTAAGCAATTTTGATTTGACACCTTAAGGATACTTTCATCATTTTCTTACCTAGGTACTCTTGGATCGTGCCACGTGCTAACACCAGTCTGAGTATGTAGAAAATAGACCTGACCTTGCTGAGTCGTCCTTTGCTCTGTGAAAACAAGATTAATTAATAACTGTAAGAATAAAAAATGCAATTAAAAAAAACACTCACAGAGACAGATTTCCCCAAACTAAGGAATCAAAAGGATCTGACATATGAGAAGACACAACCCATTTTCCCAGTTTCTTGGGAGACCTACAATTAAAAATTTTTAATTTGCATACCATATCCTTCAGGTAAATCGGGAGGAGTGTGCAAGTGTGTCCTGCTCATGTAATTTCTGTGCCTCTGTGACCTGACTCTCCTCTCCGCCAGCCGGGGATCCGACGACTGCCCGCAGGTCGCACCGTTCGTTCCTGTAATTGGAGTGTTCTCGTCCACAAAACAGCTCAGCGGTCTGCCTGGACTGGAGTATTCAGACGCTGGCCTGTGGGGAAAAACATGAAAATTGCACGGCTGACAGGGCTACACAACGCATTTTACGGGAGCTTCAGCTAGGGGCTCTCGGGAAATCTTTGCGGACAGCAGAACTGAGCAGTTGACTTGTTGGGCAGGATACCTCGATGATGGGCAGAAAGCTTCTGTTCTGCGCTCACTGGGTTCATCCCAGAGTAATCAGTAAACTTCCTCACCTATCTTAGGGTCTGACCTGACATTTTGTATATGATGCTGCAGGATCAAGATCATACCAAATGCTCACATGAGCAGTTCCCACCTTAAACAGAGTGCTGAGAGCAAAATTTTTTTTTTATTTTTTTTTTTTAAAAAAGCAGCACACAGCCCAGACTTTCTCATGTTGTCTTCATATGGCTAAGGAAGTGATCAGGCCTTGTCATTCCTTTTAATTTTTAAGGAAGGTTATTAGGCAAGGATGGTGAAAAAGGGCTGAGATAAAAAACAGTTGCTCTTGAGAGCTTGACTGCAAGATGAAACATTGAATTACGTGGTTTCGTATATCAATGCTGCTTTCCACAGGATTTAAAATGGGTTAAAGGGGGATTGATAAGGATGCAGGAAATCCCCGAAACAAGTTATATATTTTGCATGTGTTTTTCTACTGTAAATGTGTCTAGAGCTTAGAATAGGTATTTTAACATACCAAGAAAAATACAGATAGATAAATTAAAAAGCTGTTCAGTACCTTCACTCACTTGAACACCGCAAATATGTATCACAGTTGGCAGCGTTAACAGTACAGATTATTTTAAGTCAAATATATCCATACAGAGACTGGAATAATATTTATTGAGGATGGAACAGACAGTCTGCAGGCACAGACGGTCTGCAGAAGAGTCTGAAAAATATGCACTGACACTGTCTACAATTCAGGTAACAGCAAAACTGGTTTGAGGAACAGCTTCGCAACATGCATCTATGGTTATTAGAAAAGGTGATCGTAATGATTTCGAAACATGCTCTGTAACAATCAGCTTTAAAAGTTCTGCATTACATGGTCATAGTATGTACATAGACAATGTCCGTCAGCTATTCATGATCTTTTTTCTTCGTGCCTTACGATGTCTGCACATTGTAATGTCTGTATTTACAGAGTTCTACCATAGCAGCTCTACAAGAAAACAAAGATGCTAGTATTAGGGGAGGAAAAAAAATCTAGTCAGAATGATTCTTCTGAGTTAAATATTAGACAGACTGAAGGAGTAGGATGTTAGAGAAGAAAAGCATACAGCATTTGTAGGGTGACTCGGAAGAATGCTGAATATCCCCCGTTAGAGCCACTTAGAATCGCTTGTGCTCAGCACCCCATGTCAGCAAGCAAACTTCATCATATGCACAGTCTCCTCAGTCATTTCTTACCGTGTTGGTCGCTCCCACTGAGTTGTTCGTGTAATATGATTTAAATACTGGATCCTTCCAGAAGCAGTCCTCCGCTCCTCCCACCTAGAATTCAGACATTGAGAGATAAGGCAATGAGTGGTATTTCCAGGAAACCAGGGCACAAAATGTTTCCAACATAAATGCCAACTCAGGAAGACTTACACTATTATGAATCATTTTAGCTGAACAAGGTAACAGGAAACAACTGAGAGTTCAACTCAAAATTGATTTTACATATCCTTCCCTTGGAACCAGGCATATCATTAGCAATATCACACCTTCATGTTCAATAACTATTTGAATTCTAATTAAATCCAAATAGCCATATAAAGAAACTTCTTGAAAACATCATGTTTAATAATGCATTTAACTTTTTTGACCACCGATCCTAGCAAGTGCTTTCATAGTATCTTCACGCACTACTTGCTTTCATTAAAAAGTCACCTTCAAATAACGTGACTTTTTACTTATTACTTTTGCACTCCAAAATACATGAGGCTATACAGATAGCTTTGCAGTTACACAATTAAGTAAGCAATATTTATACAAGGAACATTTTGAAGCGAAAATTTAAAAACATTTTCAAAAGTGTTTTTGACTTCTCTAGACTCCAAATTAACAAAAGAATGCCGTTTAGGACTTAGATGATAATTTATGTTTTAAAATTCATCATCTGAAAAATCAGTTTCTCCTGTCTTTACCTGCCAAGAATCACATTCAGAAGGTCTGTGTTTGCTCTGAAAAAGCTGATGACAGCACCAGAACCTAAAACAGAGCATTTTTCTGTATTCGCAAAACTGTTTTAGGTGTTAATGATGTCATTAACTCTCACAGGGACAAATCAAAATCCTAAACCCAGCCTTTGGCAGGTAAATACAGCAAGAACTCAGGCTCCGTTACCTTTTCCAATCACGTTTTCTTCACTATGATTTACATGGAAGAAAAAGTGATCCATTTTAATAATAGTGTATACCTCTGCACCGTGCTGCAGAAGACAGCCAGGCCTGCGTGTCCACTACCTTGCTACAAAACTACTATGTGGCTGAAGTCAGTTTGCTGGCTGATTTAACATTATATTTGTTTATCGGTTCTATGATTTGAAAGACGTGTCTTCCTAGACAAGTGTATTTTTTAATGCATTTACTCATCGATGCCACCTCCCGTTTTCCAAGAAGAGACAAGACAAGGATCAAACTATTAACTATTCTGTGTAGCCTGGCTGGCTTATCTGCTGCTCCTAAATTCAAAACTGAGGAACTCTGAGTGCGAGAATAAAAATAAATTAGCTTATTTGTACACTGAATTCACATTACTGTAAAAGTCTGTTGTCTGAGCTGTATTTGTATTTACACCACAGCGATGTCAGCTTACCCATCTGGTAAATCATTATCAAATAACCGACTGCAATCCACCACTTGTCCTCCTGTGCCTATTCGGTCTCTGGACTGAAGACTTACTATTAAGATAATAAAAGAATTATTAAAGATATGACATCTGAATGCAAATTACAGTTATATTTGAAAGAGAAATGGTACAACTTAGAGGACTAAGCTGCATGTTCTGGATATTTTTTTCCCTTCCCACAAATCAAAGTGATACAGAAGCAGTGTATGTTTTCATACATATAATTCTCTACATACTACTTCAAAAAAGTTAGCTTGAAGAATATGAACGCAAGTTAAAGCAGAAAAAGAAGTTAACTCTAAAGCTGTCATTAATTTTTCTCCGTATGAGACAGACTGTGACACAGCGGAGCTGCATGGCTCATCTGGCGGCAGCAGGGTGGCTAACCTCACACACGGCTGGGAGAGCAAGCGGGACAGTGCTAGCGCCAGGCTTGCGCTGCTAACAGGAGAACTGCTGATAGAAAGACCTAAAATCAGAAATTCCTGCATGTTTTTGACACCTTCTTATGTATTTTGTGTGCGCGTGGGATTCAACACACACACGTACACGCACACACACAGAAAAAGCAGGCAGAACTTAACTGCTAGCAGCACTACACATTTGGTTTATTGGCTACTTTCAAACACCAGTGGTAAGAAGTTAAATGCAACTCTCACACAAAGCAGCGCTCAGCACCCTGAAAGCCCTTACAGCCCTCAGCAAAACTGTACTACTTTTTTTTTTAATTTAATTTTTATTTTTACATGGTTCATTGTAATGGATATTTATGCCTGAAGCTTTTGTACTACAATTATGAAAACAAAGATTTTTTTGGGCAGCTTTTGTTCCCAGTATCATAATTTGCAAGTGTCCAATCTGATAATTTACGACACTTGTGTTGCTGTGGGGTTGGGGGTTTTTTGATGTTTTGTTTTGCCTTTAACAATAAAACGATTACTTAAAAAGCTAGATACGTGCTGTGGCACACATTTCTTGAGGTGGCATTACTGTACCTCTGGAAAATTGTCTTCAAGTCCTATGAAGTGAATAAGCTTACAGTCCTCAATCTAGACACAACCAAACTTTTGTCAACATCACAAAGTTACAAAAAGATGCAGTACTACTAGCAAATTTTGCTAGAGTTCAAGTTTTCAACAACATGTTTTGAAGCTTAGGATTTAGGGCCTTCAACAGACCAACCCAGAGAGCCCTGCAGTACCTGCTTGCTTTATTCCTAATCAATATTAACTCCTAGTCTTCCACAAACACTAAACGTTACCAAAGCAACTTCTTACAGCGAAAGACAATTTAAATTTAATTTCAACCAAAACAAAATCATAGATGATCTATTTATTCTGCAACAAACATTACAAGTTCACGTTGTTGCATGTAGGCAAGGTTTGGCAAGCAATACACACAGACAAAAATGAAACTAAACAAAGGCAATTACCTCCTCTTTGCCTATGTGAGGACCAAAATTTGTGCACGGCTTCATTTTGTAATGAGTAAGGACTCATTTTTTTCTGCACCGCCACATCAGAAATAAAATGGTGGCACAGAAGAGAGCTGCAAGATTAAGACACAGTTCAGGTGCCCTTTGCATCCACTACTCACAAGTGTCCCCTTTTCTTCCCCCCTTTGAAGATAACCCCAGGTATTTAAGATAAAGAACCCCTTGCTCCCTGTCCCAAATTATACAGACATACCCACTGTGCACTTGATTCATTCGGTTATCATCTGTTGAAGGTATCAATTACATTTTAATACTGTTTTCCAGTCTTGCATAGCCTCTTAGTTTAAGCCAGTTTATCATTAGAAGGACTGAGACTATATTTATAACTTATTCTATCTTCTTACTTATTTTTAACCAAGATATCTCCACCATGTAACTACTGCAGTGGAATTATCTAGTTTTACTCAGGCTCATTCACGCATTCAACAAAATTGCATTAGTGAAGAAAGATTAAAACATAAGGAGATTAATAACAACAATTTCACAAAAAAAAAAGACAGGAGTCTCTGGAATCTTACCAAGGATGCATTAAAACACAGCCATGACTGAGGAAACCTGACCTTTCTGATGATAACAGCACAAAGCAGAACATACAGATTTGTTCTCAGTCTCTGCTGTAACGTGACAAGCTGTGGTTTTTTTCTAGGTTCAATGCACCACCCAGCAGCTCCTGCTGCTAATTAGGGACAGCCCCAGCAGCATGCCAAAAGAGTTAATGCTGCTTTGGCTATACCACTTTTCACGATCATATCAGGTTAAGCCAACTGGTCAGTCTAGTTTATGCCCACACTGCTGACTAGTTATCTCTGACAACTAGTTACCTCTGAAGTGTATTTGCCATGCCCACACTGCACGGTATTTGCCCCAGGCTTCCCATCTGGCATCCCAATAGCCTTGAGACCTTTCTGCTTTGGGGTGGGTTGTTTGGCTTGTTTAATTAATGCTAGCATTCTCAAGTATTGATGACAAGGAGCATACTCTGGAGGGCAGCATGAGAGCACGGCACGGTGTGAGGGTACAGTCCCTGCTGGCGTCATGTCTGAAGGACTGCTGTGGGCAGAGCGGATCTCTGCTGCCTGGAGCGGACCCTGAACAAGCTCTCCTGTCAGCTGAGCTCAGTTTCGTCTTAAAAGAAACCCCACAAACAAAATCGCATGCATACAGCACAGATGATCAGGGGACCAGTATACTGGAGCAAAACCAAAAAGCAAATCAAACTGACAACATAATGCACCCTAGAAAAATGACTGTTTTATCCTTTACTCTTCTGTGCAAGCTCACATGGAAAACTTGAATATTCAAGAGTGGTCTGAAGTGTCAGCAATGCACTTAGAACTCCACATTTCTACCATCCTTTGACTCTCCTGTGCCACCTCACTCTTATCTTAATACTGTGCAAACACGTGCAGATCAGATGCTGGACAAATGGTTAAAGCAACATAAAGAGGTAAAGTCATACGTATTATTCAACAGAGCACTTTGAGGAAAGCAAACAAATGCACTGAAGCCCTTATTTGCTGACTGATATTTCGATAGTTTTCCCTGGCTGACAAAACAAGAATGCTGCTTGGATATTATTTGAACTAGGATTTGAACACAAAACCGAGTGTACAAATTCACTTTTCTTTCCCCCATGTCCAAATATTCTCATTAACATCCTGCCATAAAAATAAAGACCAACTTTTTGACTTAAGTGACCTACTAGAAACGCTGCCTTCTGAAACAACTTACAATGCACTAAAAAGAGAGTGTTTATGAAGTTGTTTGTGGATACTCGCTTTTCAATTTGCCAGCTTCTTTTTAATTCTTAAGTTATTTAAGGTTTATGAGTTAGCAGAATGACAAAGCACAGTTACTGAGATTGGTGACAGACTTGTTAATAACCCGTGAAAACACAAAATGAATTGACTCAGTCATTCCAGACAGCAACTCACTCCTGTTACAGCAAGATGTTTTACCCTTTTGCAAAGCCTACAGGAAGCACGGCTTTGCTGGAACTCTCAGTAGCCAAGAAATTTGTAGTGAGTTTTTCACAGGGACTTCAGGCTCAAACTGTCACCATTCTTTACAGTGAAATTAAAAACTTTCTAAATAAATTTCATATTATCTATGGGTCTTATCTGTCCCAACACTTAGGATCATATTTGGGGTGTTTTGTTTTGGGTTTTTTGGGGTGGTTTGGGTGTTCTGTTTTGTTTTTTTAATTCTCTACATACACACTTCTAGCTTGAGGTCCAAATGGCTCTGGCACTAGACACTGAATTTGAAAAAAAAAAAAAAATTCAATACAGAAAACTGACATCTAGGAAGAGTATTTCTATAGCTACTACTAAGCTCCAAGAGAACTAAAAGATAAAAACCCTTACTTACCGACTATCTGTCCTCTAACAGTATCATTGTCGTTTGGCCCAAGCTTGCACAGATCCAATCTCTGATCTACGAAACAAGGACACAAAGCGTAAGTCATACAATATTTTGCTGCCTTTGAAAGGCACATTGGAGTACCATCAGAACAAAATTCAGCCTAGTGTAAGATAGTTAAGACTTCAAGAGATGGGGGAAGGGGAGCAAGACTAAAAATCTTCAGCCAAGACTTCCTCTTTCATAATTTTAAAATCAGAAAACAAGACTAGAGTACTTTTGCTTTAACATCCTTCACAAAGTTCTTTTGATGAATAGGAAATGACATTATCCTAGATTGGATGTCTGAAGTGATTATAAGACGTATTTTGAACTCTCTTCCCTTGTGAAGACCAGCCATTGTCATAATGCACTTCCAGTTCAACACTCATATTAGTACAGCACAGAGCTGACCTGCAGCATCAATCCACGTGTTCTGCACTAAATAGGTAGAACTTAATAAAATTGAGCAAAGCACAATGCACTGAAGCACTGATCTAGTGACAAATATTTGAAAGTGAGAACTTCAGTTATGCCTTTATCACCAAGGAACCTGTTATTGAAGGTAAAAACCACAATGCTTCTCTACCAGCATGTCACTTCTTTCTTTCTTTTTTTAAATTATCTGTAGAACCAAGCGCTGCTTTTCCATCACAGTGTGCCAAATTTTGTTCAGAAGTAAATGGCACCTATTAGGATAATGAGAAAACAGCATCTTACATGTTAATTAACTTTTGAAAAAGTAAATACAAAGTGCTCAAAGTGTTATAAAGCACTTAATATCTTATGACAAAATTTACTAATTAATTTTGAATGCCCATTAATTTTTAAACTACAAATTTGGCTTCAAGATAGATTTACCCTTTCGTTTACCCCTTAAGACTTGCATTTTTGAAGGTAATATAAAGATAATTTGAAGGTAATTACAATCTGTCTTCCTTTGGAATCCCAACACAGTAAGTTCAGTCTTGACAATCCACAACCAGACTGCGGCACTGAAGTTACCACTGTCTATGGTAACGGGGCAAAGGAGTTGAAAAGCCAAAGGTAAGTTACATTCTCTAATCTACTCACGCTATTCTCAGCCACAAAACAACATTACAAACTACCAAACCAATTGGAATATAGATGCTTTATTAAAAAAAACAAAACAAAAACAAAACCCGAAAACCCAATTAATTGTCACTTTTCAAAAGTCTGTGCATGAAAGTTTGGTCTGAAAGAGAAGAAACTCTAGTCTTGAGCTTACTTACAACCAGTGTCTTTAAGGCGGTTGATTGCGTTTGAAAGAAGTCTCACACAACCCAGAAAACCAGCTCCCTGCTTTTTATGAATTTTCTTGTGATTCCACACACTGATTGTTATTGAATCTGACTTCCCGATATATCTGAAAAATGCAGAAAAACAGTACTGTGAATGGCACTTACTGAATACTTTGAAGATGCTCCAGAAATCACCTTGGGGAAAAAAAAGACTATCAACCATTACATTAAAAATTTAACACATACTGTATTGCCAAGAGAGAGTAAGTCATCTTCAGAGAAGATGTACGCATTATACTTTAATGAAAGCATGTCTTATGAAGGAGTTTACTTGAATATAAACTAATCTAAAATCCTGATTCTGGAGGAAGGCATTCATGTGAATCCAAAGGCTACCAAAATCTGTTTAAACCAGTAACATGAACAGGCCGTGGGCTGGCCCGGTGACCACGTCTCTTCAAGCAGCTACGAACAGGCTTAGATTCATGCCTATGCTCAGCCTAACCGAAAAGAACGGCAATGCTCGTGGCAG